TAGAATGTTAACTTTAAAACAATCATAAGGCCGTCCTAAAACCGGAAAGAGAATTTCATAATTTTCTTTCTTTTAGCGATCAACCAAAGTTCGTAGTACTGAATAGGCGACTGTTATCGATCAATAAGGTACTCTGCATACCAAATATTATATCTACTTACTGTACACAAAAAATCTTACCCAATTCGAATTTTAAACTCGAGCTAACTTCCCGCCACAACAAACCTGCACCAACGTTTTTACCATTTCATATTGCAATAAACAATTCAAAAATACAAAAATATGACTGCAACATTTCATCAAAATTCTGTCAGTTTTTGTCGTCAGTGTCACCTCCACCTGTCTTGAGGGCCCTGCACAATGGCCGTTACGAACGCTGCGATTAGCATACTTTGGCCTAAAAAAAAGATTATTACTCGCCCCCAATACTGAAGTTAATATTCAATACGTTTACACCAAATAATAATTACAGCAGTTCGTCTGCCGAATGCATTAAAGGGTCGTTTTCCTTGTATATATTATAATATTAATGTGCGAGAAGGGAGCGGGCAGGTGCATCCAACGTTATTAAGTTACTGATACCCAATACCCACACACTTTGTTTATTATTATGAGCAACGTACGTAAATAACGTATTATAATATGTTATATCTTACGCATATTCTACGGTGCGTTTGTCGCTTGCTTTTCGACGCTCGGCGGCCATTTCAAATAGGTATTTTATTCGTAATGTCGCCTTCGAACTCACTGTTGAATTCCGTCCGAGAGTTAATCGTTTCTGTTTAATTTAAATGATCTTTGATCTGTTATCTAATAGGAGTAGTTCCAGGAACTGAATGTTCTGATTCCAACGTGCCGTGGAACTGGTTCCGTCATCGTTTGTTACACAGTTTAATGATTGACTTTACAATATTTAACATTTTTATGTTTAGTGTTTTTAAGTAACTGTAAAGTGATATCAAGAGTTAAATCTCATGTTTCTAGCGTCCATTGCGGTGACACTTTTTATTTTTAATTGGACTTTATGATTTTGCGACGGTCGAACTGACGAGGGAAGATGAATGCGGACTTACTTAATATTGCATATAAACTTTTTGCACACAATATGGTAGCCTAGTTTTTTTAAAGTAATTACGGCTTTCTTGATGACAATGTAAACGTCCCGCGGCATTGTAAAAAACCTATACTTGTTAGATTACTATCGTTTAATCAAAATATTGCTTGTAATAGTGCTTGAATGCTAGCAAGAAAATGAGCAGATGAAGTGAAACCATAAAGATAAATAGCTAATTTAGCTACTAGGAAATTGCCCGGTGAAATAATGAAGTAGTTACGAACAGTCTTCAATTTTATTTATCAATAATGTCAGTACAAATTGTAAGAACCAATATAATTGCATCTTGTAACTTACATCAGAACTTCTAAGTGTGCTTGTAACTTAGGGTATTATTTTAATATAATTAGGTTATTTTAGGAGCTAAGGAAACCAAATTAATAATGTTACTTATTACTAACAACGATTGCATCACTGCTTACCATCAGGTGGGATCGCAGTCAAGCACTACTATATAGCAAGTAAAAAAAAATTTACTTGAAGGGGTCATGAAATTTGCTAGGTAGCTATATTTTGGTATATTTTTTAAGAAACTGCCTATTTATAAGTTAGAAGTTTAAACCCGAAAGCAGAATAAGAATCGGTATTCTAATAAGATTATTGATTTATTTAATTTTTGTAAATAGAAAATATTCGATGACTACTACAAAATTTGCAATCATAATTTTTACTACGAAGTGTTTATAACCACTTATACTTTTTTTCCTATTAACTTTAAAATTGTAAGTCCAACAAGAAATCAGTTCGGTACATAATAAACTTACCTAAGTATCCATTTCTTTATACCATTATTGTTAGTACTCTCCTTCTCTCATAGCAAAAAAATAGCGTTCACAATAACCCTTCATACGGGTCACTCCGATAATAAAAATCACTTTGCGTACTAATTCAAGTTCGATGAAGCGACAGAAAGAATAGCCAGTACAAAATTGAAAAGCAAATCAAACGCGTCATGACACGACTCGGGGTCGCTGAGATAACGCCGGCTAAGTCCCAGATTGATTCCCGGATCAGACGGATAGTCGCAAGCGCTCAAGTGTGGACGATCCCTTACTCACGACCCGGTGACTATGAGGCGTCCCTAAGGATTTGTGGAGTTACGTTTACTTCTTTAAATTCAGCCTTTTATGTTTATGTCGGTTTAATACTTACATTGTTTTGTCTTGTAGCCTGGTGTGGTGTGAAACGTTTACTTACGATGCTGCGGCCGCTTTGCTATCAAGTTATACAGTGTACATCTATGCTAGATATCTATACCTATTTCTATTAACCTATTTAGCTTTATATAATACACATTAGAAAAATAGTTTATTTAAAAAATCTTTTTGTTTTATTTATTTGTATTAGGTATAATATATGTCAGTACTGGCTATAAAATATTCAGTGTAACTCCTACATGTAGGAAACAAGCTCGTCTGCTGCAATATTTTTTATTTTTGTTTTAAGTATTGGTTATTTAAATCTTAGAAATTCCTGTGTCTAACATAGCAAACAAAAATTATCCGCGTTCATCTAGTTTCGGCCAGTTAAGTGTCGTTTTGGAAGCTGGAGCCTTGTAATGGTCTTTATAATATTTTAGTAATATAAAAATACCTATATTTAGCCCTTTTTTTAATGAGAAAAATCATCAAATTACTTTTCTCGCCCGAGGCAGGTGAGACAGAGTGTTGGTCAGTCTTACTGAATAAACATCACCCTGTTCGTTCTCCTGCTCTAAGCTGGGGCTACGGTTCTTCATTGCACTAACCCCGCAACCCCGGTAGATATTTATCCGTGTAGATTAATGTTAAATATAAAACACGCATTCATTTTATATATATTCTAATCTATCTATTTAATCGAATATTGAAGATCTATAAATAACAATCGAGGCGATCTACAGCGAATCCTAGGAACCAAACCAATTACTTTCATCGTGATAGTTTGGGAGTTGCGTACTTAGCTATTGTCGAAAGCTTTTTCAGATAGTTACTCCACGCGTCTTCCTCGTTCTGTGGAAACCAGAAATGATACAATGGGCCATTTCAATTTTATCTCACAAGCTCTTGCAATTTGTCTAAAATGAATTGTGTTCGCGTTTGCAACCTATTTCGTTTATGTCGCTCTTAAATCGTGTGAATGTGAGCCTGCTTTTTAATTACAATTATCTAATTATTCTATTTTAAAAGGCTCACGCATGTTTTGATAATGTTTCTTGTAAAAATTTCAAGAGTTTTTTTAAGTACTTGAAACTTATCTCTTTTTCGGTAAATACACGTGAGTACCTAAGTCGTTATTTCCAATGTATTTAAGTAAGTCTTACAACCTTACCTCCCGCAAGTTGGACCGAATCTACTAAATAAAGATAGCTTTTGTTTGCGTGTACTAAGGTAATTTAGTTTCGTCTACGTATGTTCTGTGTTTCTGAATATTATTTAAATATATTTAAACTTCTTTCTCTGTAAGCAGCAAATCTATTGAGAGGTAATTTCTAAGCATAGTATACATAGTTTCTCGCCAAGGAAGTAGGCATTGATCAAAATACGCGACGGTTATCAATAAAACAAGCGCATATCTTTGACAAAGTAAAAGTTTAGAATGTAAGACTGACTTTGTTAAAGTTTACAGCTGACCACGTCCGTATTGGACAATTACACGACGAATGTCGTGTCAGCGAATAAAATTAAAGAAATAAATCGTACAGTGGAGGTGTGCGAACATACCGCCGTACGTTAGCGCTCGTAATTTTGCCAAGTGCGAAGTTCCGTCACATCGGGGGGTACGTCGCATACCGCTTTAGGTGTAAGAATATTCGTCCAAGTGTCGGCTCTCGAATATTCCACGGTGTTGCCGTGTGCAATAAATCCCAGCGAGTGATGCCGCGGTTTTTGCCTGGCGACATTTTTTCCCGCGCTAGCGGTGCATTTATCACCACCGTGGACTGGCCGCGCCGGCCCCGTGACTTATGCCCGCTCCACTCCCGACCAAAATGCCGTTTCATTTTTAAAACTACAAACAAGCCACTCCTCGTTTTGTTTTCCGAGTCCACGCTATAAGTATAAACGTAAAGGATGATGTTGTCTTATTTTTATTTAAATAACTCCGATCTCTTGGTCTACTCGGATTTTATCCTTACAAGTTGTTTTTAAGTCGTTCAGAATTTTGGAAGTTTTTATATTTTACAAGTTTCTATTTAAAGTATTGTGTTTGGAACAGGCCTATATCGTGTGTGTGCCTACGTATCAAAGGTCCTTTACCTTTTGATATCAGGTAACCTCAACGGATTTCCACAACATATAAACATCAACAAAAACTGTATCAAAATTCATAAGGAAGTTTGCAACAGAAATCTTTACAAATGTCAAGCCGAACGATCACGGATCCACCGAGGCGTGGCCGCTAAGCGTCCGCAAAATAACTGTGCAACTTAAAAAGATCAAAAGCAAACAATAATTGTGTACCAACAATGGCACCCTTAAAATCCGTCGGAATGAACCGCAAATAAAACCAAGTTATTAAGTAAGGCCTATCGTCGACGGGGAACCATTTTATACGTACTTTTATCCAATGTCCATTCTTCTGAAATGCGATTAAAATTGAATAGGTCCATATGTCGCCGGCATCGGGGCCGTTGCGTCACAATCACACGGCCGGCTGCATTTTCAATTTGCCGCGAGATAAGCGCGACTTTTGGATGACTTTTTCTGCGGAATAGCGGAATTGATCCTGTGACTTATGGCGGACGATGTAGAAGACGACGTAATTGGATGGTCAATTGATCTGCTTTCCAATTTAAAAGGACCTTCGCTCCTTACAAAGGGACAGCGGGAATTACGCCCGTGTTTGTCCATTCAATGGGCTTTCGAGCTCATCCAGTGTTGGGGGGAGAGTAAATGAAATAAACATCTAATATCAATATTGATAATTTATTCACAATTTCATTTAAAATACACAACTTCACAATGTTTTGTTTTAAAAACTAAAAACTTTAGGTACGGGATATCGTTATAGGCTGTTTTGCAGTGATCTCTAATTTATATCTTTTTAATCTGATAGTCTTATAATGATTTCATTTATTTTCTACATGTTTCATTTACATTTCATATTTACATATTTTGGGGTCCGGGAACGTGTTTGTAGTTGTAACATTGGGTCATTACGAAGTGGCCGTGAGTCAGCGAATGCAGGTAAACTTGATTGCAGCGGAGTGACCCGTGTATTAAATAATAATAATGAACCATTGTATTAAACAAGGTGCATGGAAGAATCGAGACATAGCATTATGACCACCTTGCGCAAAATAACTTTCATTTGTTTATGATATCATATTATGGTAAGTATGTTACAACCACACACACAGATCCGCAATTTAAAATGTATGGCCACTCAATATCCTTAATTTTACACGGTAATGTGATACAAAACTTTATAATACACCTTGTGACAAACAAATTTATTCTTTATACATAAATATTCAATAGCTAATTCGATTTAGTGACCACTTGAATAATTTATTTGACGAAATCATTGTTAATGCGCTAACAAAATCAGTTCTGCGAAATGTCACTATTCAAAACTGCTATTTATTTACAAAATTGCATGTATAAACTATTACATAAATTACTATTGCATTCCATTCAAATAACATCTACACAAATAATAAAATGTACAAAAAAAATTCTTCGCAATATTCTTCTGAACACATCACAATTCCTATAGCGAAACGAAACGTTCGAATTAAATATAATAAAAAAAAACAATTTACACAGGAACGGAATATAACTTATAGAGATATGTACAAATACACAAAATTATTTCATCTTTATTTGAACTATACTTATACGATAAAGACTTCGTAACCGACCTTACCTATAATTATAATACTGTACAATTTCGCTAGTTACTTCATGTAAAACACTCTTAATTTAATACTTGTAGGAAACTGATCGTGGTATATCAAAGTCTTTCATTGGGGAACGATAAACTGGGACAAATTTTCTTCTGTTCAAAATCAGGATATGTTCAGTTCAATTCAAACTGTGAGGCGGGGCGTTAGTGCGAGCGATGAGCGGGCGACGGTCGTATAGGGAGCCTCAAGGATTGAATTAGTCGCTGCTTTAAAGCCTCGTCAATCACAGCGTGGCCGTCGCTTTCCGCTTTCACTGCCAACTCAGCCTAGTTTGTAGAGATGTATGTAAACGTCAATTCTGTTCAACAGTCTTATTTATTGATTGATGTGTCGAATTTATTTCTGAGTGGAATATCCACTCTACAGAATCAGTGCGTACGCCTGATTCGTTTGTAAGGTCATAATGTCCGTCCATTGGGGCAGGACTATTGTTTACGAAAGACATTATTTTAATAACTGCATTCTCCTGTGTTTGGTTGACTTATCACGTGTACTCACTCCTCCAGCCAGTCTGTAAAGAAGAAAGTATTATTAATTATGGCATACAATGACATTTTCTTGGATAGACTTTACAACTTTACGTAAACTTTTTCTTTATTCCGTCTATCCATATTCATTTAATTATCAAAGAAAAACAAAGCTTTATCATCATCATCATTCCTAATCCTGTCCTCTGCTGGACATAGGCCTCCCCAATAGCCCGATGTTCAAGCTCTTCTCATCCAACCAAAAAGTTTAAATATAGGTAAAGATTATCTGCCGTCGGTGAAGACGAAACCATCAGACGTGACTAATAACAATGATAATTTATTGAATCAGATTGTGTTTCAATACAATATCAAACTGCATATTTTAAACATTACAATGTTTACGAGGTCATACTAAATAAATATTCATAGCCATTAAAATTTTTAAAACAAATTGTCCACCTATAATATTGCAATTTTGTTCCAAAAATACGTCAGAAAGCTAATTTGATTCTTGATAACAAATCTTAACGTACATTTTAATATGAATTTAATATTTAAATAGAGATAATACAAGTAAAGACAGGATAAATATTTGATTAAAGTCGTCACAATATAATTGGTGCAAGATACATTAAAATATGTATGCTTATAACCTTAACAGGACGTTTTGGTGAGAAAATCTTAACTCTGACTAGTTTTTATGTATAAATATTAATATTCGTTTATACGCAATTTGCAAGGTAATAAATACCTACTCTGTTTTTATTGGATGAAATATTAATGAATTTTTTTATTGGCTACACGTACAAAGCTCGTGATGGTTTTAAATTTCGAAAACTTTTCCGTAGATATTCTAGAATGCACGAGTAACATCATAAGTTGTCTAGAATAGAAGTTTTTTTAACAATCGACATTCAAGCTGTTTATTCGAAAAGCATGAATTAAAAATTGCTATCCAATCCAAACTAATATTATAAATGCGAAAGTAACTCTGTCTGTCTGTCTGTCTTTTCTTCACGCCTAAACTACTGAACCTATTTGTGTGAAATTTGGTACAGACATATTTATATCTTGCCAGCATATTAGAGTTTAAATTTTAATTGTTATTATTATCTGACTGACTATAAGACAGTGACTTTTTCCGAGTTACTTACATATATGTACTTTCTATGATTATGTAGACATTGCTGATATACGGTGAAGGTAAACATCGCGAAGACTTATAATTTCTAACTATAAGTTTGGAATCGCCAACCCGCATTGAGCAAGCTTGGTGATTAATGCTCAAATCTTCTCCGTGTGAGAAGAGCTTTTTTCTCAGCAGTGGGCACTTATATGCTGATGATGATGATGATGATGATGATGATGAAGATAAGACAGTTTCCAAATACATACCATTGAATTGAGCTGCGCGAGGTGATGGTGGTGATAGGGGTTGTGTGACGCTGGTGGTGGAGCGAAACCCTGATGTGGTGCACCGTACCAGTGGGACATGTGTGCCGCCGCTGGGTGGACAAGACCAACTTGATGCTGACCTGTAGGACAAAACAAAGGAGGTTGTAGTACAAGGTAGGTACAAAATTTGTCTAAAAATGTTATAAATAAAAAAAAATAAGTCAAAAGGAGTCCATCATACATGTAAAAACTATCAGTTGTAGTTTGTATCATATTCAAGTTGCTTTAGTGTACCTACGTTTCTCAAAAAAATCTTCAGAATATCCAAAACTAGCTACTCTCTAGTGGTTTCACCAACTCTCGGATTCATTAAATCGTAACGAAATTTTTATAGCCTTTCTCAATAAATGAACTAACGAACGCAAAACAATTGATTAAATTCGAACCACTAGTTCCAGAGATCAAATCAAACTACAGCTTTATAATATTGGTATAGATGATATACTAAAAGCTAGGCGTACATACAAGTTACTTAAAAATGATATTAAACAGACACTACCCTAAGAGCTTCAACACATAGACAGCGCACATTAATATAACTAAAGTAACTCTCGATTCCTTCGCAGTGTTTAAGTAAGTAGCAATTTAAATATCCACATTTACTGTCTGAAGTATTTATTCAGAGATTACAAGTAATGCATTGGCAAACCAGCCTCTTAGTTAGAAACTATTCGTCTTCACTGCACGCTCAGATAACGCGCTGATACGGTTAATATTTTCCCTTCATTAACTCATTACTTTAAACTCTTAATTAAGTTACACTCGGAGTTTTTATTTAACCGAGAACCACTTTAAATTGCAACAAATGAGCGGTTTAAAAAAGTAATTAAATTGTTTCGTTGAGTTTCGATTTTTCTACTATTTTAATTGTGCTATTACGTTCACTTACTGTTATTTATTAACGTTTTTTTAAGATACGTTTAAGGTTTCATTTTTTACTTGCATTTTGATAAGGAAAACACTTTATTTATTTAGATTATAAACTAAAGTAATTGAATTTTAGTGTGTTTTTATCTGGAAGTTCACATATGTACCTATAAAAATCTAAGTAGGTAAGTATTTGTATAGAAATTCTGTTAAAGTTATTCCATAAATCCTGTCTATTTTATAACAATTTTAGCAATGGGTCCTTTTTTTAATATTCAAAAAGTTATTTTGCGTATGTATAAATAAATCTGCATGTCTGACTACTGTGTAACAATTTTTCCGATGTGTGTACGAATTCGTCGAACAAAACAATTTGATATTGATTTCCTAAAAAGATTAAGTATCAAAGTGTTGATAGACGTTATGTAAAAATTAATTGGTGTACTAATCTAGCAACGAATGCAAATTATAACATTTTAAACAAATAATTAAATGGATAGACAAATAAATATAGGAGAATAATCATCACGATTTTTATAACTTCATAAATAACAAGGCTATAATTAAACTTAAAACTATCATCATTGAAAAAGCTTAATTTATTGCAAATAAGTCATAAATCTGTATTTTTTTTTTTACTAAATTGCTTCTCAGACAATAAAGCAATAACTCTCATTCGGATCATTAAAAATAATTATGAATATGTTAGTACCTACCTAAAGGATGTGTCAATAATAAACTCATTAATACGAAAACGTGTAACTTAGCAAATTAATCAGTAGTCTGATACAATATTCTACTGTTTTTAAAATCAAATTCACTATTTTGATACCATTTAACAAACCACAACGTATTTCGTATTGTGTTCCTAATTTTATTTTCTAACCATTAAGACTATAATTAGTGTTAGTACAAAATTGATTCTTAAACACCATGTAATGGTTTAGATTCTTACCAAAGTCCATTGCAGATGGGAAGGCGGATCCGCCGAAACCCTTGGTTCCATCACCTAGCGGCTTGATCATGTCTCCCATAACTCCTCCGAGGGCTAGTGCACAAGCTCCGCCCCCTCCCATTCCCATTCCACCCTTCTTCTTCTTACTCTTACTACTCAATTTGCGATTTCTCGTCTGGATCCCCTCTTTCTTCATCGTAAGGGGCCGGTTTACCTGTTGACAAGGAATTTACGAGTTTAGTTATATGGACATAGAGATATTTTTGCTAGTGATAAAATTTCTGATGAAGATTTATATACTCTAGAGTAATTTGTATATTATTCAGCTTCAAACGAGATGTTTAAAGGTTAGACTTGAATACGAATATCGTTAATCAGAGCAGCTCGAGATTTACCCGGAGAGCAATAAGATACATCACAAGGAAAATCATTATCATAATAGCTAAACAAAAGACGCACGCCAACTCTCATTGTCCTGAATGAGAATGACATTATGACGTGAAACACCATCTACATAAATAAAACAAGGCAACTAGGATTTACTTAAACAAGCAAATCACGTATCGACCAAATTATTCACTCTGAATATAATATTTCGCTTAATTGACCCGTCGCAATATTCTGGACGAAGCTAATAAGTCGTAATTGTCCCTTGTTGAATCACACAATTTTGTTAACCGTCAGTATTCCATTTTATTACTCTGACACGACATTTAGCGGTATGAAAAAACGTCTGCGGTACCAATTTAGAATGCTAACTACGGAGTATAAAGGCAGGCCGAAACCATAAAATGGTATCACAATAGTTGTGTGCGAATATTCAGCTGTTTGGTGTCCGATGCCGCCGCCGTCGGCGTCACACTGCGCATCCTAATTAGTGCAGCGATGCACTGTGCCTGGCTTCGTGTCCGTTTGGTGGGAAACTGCGGTGACGCGCGATTTGAGGTTAAGGTCCTCAAGCCCTCACTCTATATGGAACATAAATTTCCTGTAGTATGAACATGGAGATGGACTACAACCGACCTGACCTCCTCTTGCAGATCCGCGAACCTAAAACGTTTCATTCCATCCGATTAAGGGATAGCCCGTTTGTTTACATGCACAGAATATAAGGGACGACATCTCTGTCTTTTACATGATTACGTAAAGATAAAGTTCGCGAGCGTGCTCTCGACATCAGATAAGCTCTTATACATTTCCATAATTGTGCAATTTCTCTGCCAAATTCTCGGGTCAACTATGTCGGTCACTTCTGCTTTGCATCGTGTTGTTTCTTAGAACCGTGCGTCACGACGGACGGACGGATGGACAATGAGTTATTCATCGCCTTCCAGGGAACTTGGCGGCGGCATGTGGGCCCTAAACGCACGATTGCATTGCGCCTGCGCGAACGCAGCCCATGCGCATGACCTGCCCTTGTTTGTGTTTGTTTTTGGTGATGTGCAATTGAGTTTGTTTGTTATGATTTATAGCCGATTTATAATACATTGTATGTCAGTTCTCATGTTGCCCAATTAAGTTTAACAATAAATTATCTTGTTCTTGTGCCGTTTGATTTATGCTTAATACGTCTAGCCGCATATAACGCCGAATAATTAACAGTAAACACAGTACAAAGTGCAATTTCTCCAGACGGACAGTGATAAAGCTTCATTAATCTGTTGCTAAAGTACTGCGTAGTTCAGTGCGTGCCAGATCCTGGCGTCCCTAATGCGTTCCCGCGAATCGCCCACACATCGCGCATACCGCGCCGTCGCGCGTCTCTCCTCTCAATTGAACCAATATAAAATGCATTAACATCACTGCATGCCGGCAGATTTAGACTGCAACCAAATTAGGTCATTGCGAAGCCTTTACTGGCAATATTTTTTCTTAATTGCCCACTGGAGCGCGCACCCGTAAAACGGTCTGGTAGTTTTTATTTTTCCGTATCAATTATTGCAAATTAGTTCCTTGTTAGAAAGAAAGTACGTGGTCCGTTTTTATTGCTCATAATAAAGCTGTGTATTAGAAAATTAGAAAAATAATATACGAGTGAGACGCGAACGCGAATACCTGGACAGACAAAAAGTTTTTAATAAGAAGTAATAATTCCTTCACAATCTAGTTTTAATGATACCTACTGCCGTTATATATGGTCGAATAAATATCAAATGCCAAGCTATCTGTAATATGATAGGCGAATTAATTTAGTTTCAGGAATATATTTATTATTAATTTATATAATGATGCACGTGGAGGTCTATATATGTCCAGTAACGTACTTAGTACCTTGTACCGAGTAGTAGTTAATATACAAAACAATATATCAAATGATTATGTGATCCTAGGTGGTCGTGGTACCACCGGAAGAGGGTATAAGGGAGTAGCTGACAACACGTCTTGTTGGCTCAGAAATTGCTTAATAACTGGCCATTATGCCTAGTTAATTACATCTGCCCGTTCCCACTGCTTGGATACGTGGATGTAATATATGCTGTTCGTGTATTCAGACTATATAAGGAAATGACTAGGTATGTACTGTAATCACAGCTTTACATACGTTAGTATAGAGTACGTTCGGTCTTTTCTGCTAAAGAATATCGCGGTTTTATTATATTGTTTTATAATTGCTTGGCGTTTTTAAGACTAGGAAGGACTTAATATTAATGGTCTAACTGCGGTGTGCCTTTGACGTGTTTAGTCCCTAAAAAGTGAATGATTTTATTACCTAATATAAGTCACAGTCAACACTTGGGTACATTTTATTCAAGAAACGAACCGGTTGAATAATTTTTGATTCAATTAAGTATATAAACATGATCCAATTCCATTAAATTACTTTGGACAAATTGAGTATGTAGATTAATGTATAATTTTAGACATATATAGTACCTAGAGTTATGCATATTACCTAATTACCCCATCATATCTTGTTCTAGAAAGTACTACTTATGTACAGAAAAGGTAAAACTATCACACATTTCCTCGTTCAAATTTTTGCGTCCCATATTCCAAAGTTACTTAGTATGCGCTTTAAGTTATCTACGTCAAGTTTCCACGGACTCATAATTATGGTCAGAAAATACAACGGGCATACGGCTATGAATCTGACTGAACGTGGACTTGGCATGCAACGGCCACAAGACGCAACGATATCAAATGCGGCCCTAAATTTCATTAATGTAGGCTGGTGGGTGCTTTTCGAGTACAAATGGTTGCAAACTCAGTAATTTAATTAATTATTACAGTAGATGGAAGAATTTCGAGAGCTTTTATGTTTATAGTTTACCTACTTTTCTGTACCTAACAACAGGTAAGTATTGAAATTAAGAACCATAATAATTGTCAACCAACGAAATATAAACTAAATAAAACTTAGAAACGACTGTCACTAAGCTTCAGACATCTTACATACCTACATTTGTAATAAATTGCTCACATTATTTTTTTTAAAACAAACCAATTGCCCTTTCTATAGTAAAAATTGCCAGCAACATTTGTTAGAACAAAAACAAAATACAGTAAAAAAGGTTTTACTCTAAAATAAATTTGAAATAACAAGTACAACTAGTTTAAACAGAGCTATGTTTGAAACAGTTCAAAGCAATATACACCTACATATAAATATAGGGGGTTATGGTAGCGTGTCCCATACTCATTACATTGGGTTAGTGCTACCTATGCGCTCATTCTTGTAAATTGTACCAAACATACATACTGGCCACTAACATGAATTTGATTTGTATAAACCAAAATGTTGTTTTGTATTACCATTGTGGATTATTATTATTATGTAACTTCAATAGCATTAAACCCCCAAATGGTTAGGTTATGTAAGGCAAACTTAGAAGAACAAGATTGGTAATCCTTGATTTATTAGTTTTTCTTTCTGTAAAATTAGCAGACGGATCACCTGATGGTAAGTGGTCAGTGCCGCAAATAGGCACCCGCAACACCTGAGGAGCAACAAGCGCGTTGCCAGCCTTCTAACACTTACCTATCATTTATTTTTTTATTATTAAAATGTATATTAATCAGACTTTTTTTATTTGCAGCAGTATAATATTATAAAATACGACGACTCACCTAAAGTTAAGCAATGCAGGGGCACTACAAGCTTTGGAGATTGAATACGAATGGGAGATAGGTAGGAGGATTGGCACGTTCTGATTTTCAGTATATGATATTTCAGTAATCTATACTAATATTATAAAGAGGTAAAATTTGTAAGTTTGTATGTTTGTAAGTTTGTATGTTTGTATGTTTGTAAGTTTGTATGTTTGTAAGTTTGTATGTTTGTAAGTTTGTATGTAGGGGGTAATCTTTGGAACCGCTGGTCGGATTTCCAAAACTCTTTCACTGATAGATATCTACAATGTTCCCGAGTGCTATAGGCTAAAAAACATCACGCTTTGATTAAATAGAGCCGAGCAGCGGGTGAAACCGCGGGAAAGTAGGTAGTATATAACAGATTAAGCCATTTAAATCAATTGACGAAATTATTTCTATAAAATTCAGTGTTTTAATAGCAGGTACAATTCATGGCATAAATATACGAATTCTATACAATAAATAATGACAAAACAAATATGGAGTACCTAACTAGTAATTTCGATTTTTAAATTGCACTTTTGTCATTTGATGGGGTTTCGTGCGGTGCAATTCAGGGTTAGTAAAACAGGTACGGTTAGCATGCACAACATGCATCTAGTTGTCAATGTAATATCGACGGAGCACGCCATGTTAAATAAACTATGGACTGTACATATTTAGGTATATATTTGCTTTTATGCTTATTATTATAAAGTTTCATGAGTACCAATTTGAATAAAAGAGTTCGTAAAATACTTTTCAAAAAGAGATAGGTTGGTAGAAAGAAAGAAGAAAGAAAAGAAGAAAGAAAGAAAGAAAAGTTAAAGAAGTATTTGTTCTATTAAAAAAAGTATAATTCAAACTATTTGTATAAGGAATGATAATAATTATTAATATTAGTAAAGCTCACCTAAACAAAGCCTTCATGCATTGCATTCGCGATTTCTCACCTAACGAGTCTGCCAATCGTAAACGGAATATTTGCGTCGACTTGTTTTCACAATCATTTTTATAACTTAACTGCACTAATTATATTTAGAAAACGATTTCAGTTTTGAATAATTACTTCACATAAATCTATATACGACACTGCTGTGCGTCTACCGCATACATGCACTAATTTGCGCAATCAAACTGTAA